GCAATTCAGGTACTCCTGTTGCGGGCGTCGAAGCACACGTGTAACATCGAAAAACACATGGGGGAACATCGGCTTTCGGAGAGGAATATTTCCTTCTGCGATGCACCAACCGGTGTCTTACGGCAAAAGTGTCGGAAACCTGCAGATGTAACGGAGACATCGCAAATCACTGACCTCCTGCATATGCAAACGACTGAGGCAAAACATCTCACGAAGTACATTGAGGAGGTAGCTTTCAGGCGATCAGGCGTTTCTTTCTGCCAACACATGCAAATGGAATAAAGGAACGTTTGATGTCAGACTCCAGTACATTTGCATGATCGGCTCAATCTTGAAACCCTACTTTGCATGGCGCTGAGCTGATGTTCGTTTTTCTGGCATCAGCCAAGAGCGTTCAGTTTCCTTCCCACAAGCTGGTACTCGACTATCCACGTCACAAATCGAGTGACCTCACCGGGCGTCATCACGTGATTATTCGACTCTATGAGTGCAGCGCCTTCTCTTTACTCAGACAATGTAACTACCAAAAGCAATTATGCATGAGTCGATTCATTCAATACGAGACACTTTTCTTTGGCCTGCTTTAAGGACTACTGATTTGAAAACAATGCGGTCAAGCAGCATTATTTCTATCCTTAAGGTAGAGATTTCGAACACTTCTCAACCCAGTTCAGATTCAGGGATTTGTATGTGGCTCGCATAAAGCAGCTGAGATAAGCCGTTCAAATTCAATACATGGGGTAATGGACGAAAGGGCCTATGAAAAATGACAAGGTTGCAAAAATTAACTCAATTTGGAGATGCGTGCTGAACGCTCCGATCGAACAGATGCATTGAGGATGACGCGCGACTCTCGAAGTTGCTGGAAAGCACGGGTGGAGTGACAGTAAGTGCTGTTTGTATCTCTGTTCCGAATGGTATTCACCCTCAGCTACTGAGGCCTATCATAATGAGGTAATACTGATTACTGACGGTAGTACTGAGGTCCTGTCATAATCAGAACTCTGCGAGTTCCATGCCTGAAATTGCACAATACATCTAGCCAATAAACGAACTTCTCAGCTTATGTCAGCCTTACAGCTAATGTTTGATAGAGCTTAAGACTGACTGGGTTTTGTATGCCTGCAATAGACGCGCCAAAAAAAACTACATCGTCAAATACAACTGTCCCCCTGACGACTAGAAGACAATGGAAGCACTCTACCACCCCGTGTAAATCCAGTGGAACGAGTGCAGTTTGTTGCAAGGAGTATATGGCCTGATTTTACAAAGTTTGTTGCCATAAAGCCACATGCGTTCATGTGTTTATTGTTATACGATGCATCATATTATGCAGAAATTCTGCTGTGCACAAATAATAAACCTATTCGGCCAAGTGAAAAAAATTTTCGTTATCTTTCTTCTTCTAGTTATAAGAGAACATGGCACAATTTAAATATTGAAAATTCCTTATTATAATGATTATTAAAATGTATGTATGTGAAATCCAAAGAACAGTCTAGAATCGATAGAGTATTCTAAAGTTCATAAGCTATGATTGCAGTATTCTGAATTCACTATAGATGAATCACTGGTTGAGTCTTTTTCCTAATCCAAAGATAAACCAGTTGATGGAAATAGAGCATGTTGGATATATACTTCCAAATTAAACTGGTTTCCTGCTTTATGGTCATAGACAAAATTGTGCATCCCACTTCAGTGAAACCATAATCGCCAGTAACTGAATTGCGTAAATCATGTACAAATTAACCGCTCGAGCTTAACGTTCCAAACAATTCGCCTTGAAAAGCATTATACCCTGCATAATTGCATCCAGTGATTCTTGAAGCCTGAAGATCAGTTTCGAGTTTTCAGTGCGTTTCAGCCACAGAATGCTTCGAAACCAGTTGCTCTAATTTGTCAGCATACGGATGATTTATGACGTACGAATTCAAGCAACGAACCGCCAGCGCTTGGCTGCATGCTCTTCTTTGAAACGGCGTTCATTGTTGTTGCTGGCGCAGCTTGGCGTGGATGGCTAGGCGACAATCCAGTGATGTTGTGAGCAGCTAAATAGAGCGATTATTACTGTGGTTCACAACAGAGTTTCATACCTGATGTGAATGGCGCTTAACCTTAAGATCTATTACCGATTACTGAAGTCATGTAAAAGCTGTTTTTTCTTCTTCAGGTGTTTTCCTGATTTTCCTGAAAGCTGAGCTGTGGTCAAAATGGCACTACTTCTGCTGCTATTCTTTCTTTTGTTTTGTGAACTGATGGACACATCTGCAAATAAAAGTAAGCATTGCGTGATGACTCGTATTGCTGTGCTTGAAACGGTGTGTAACTGATTAAACACAACTGCTGTCTTCAGCTTCCATCTTAGTAAAAATCTAACAGCCAGATTAATTCGTTGAAGCATGCATGCAATGAGTGATGTGACTCTGAGGTGTCACGAAGAATGCTTAATTTCGCTTGATTCGACAACCAAACCTTCAACTTCACTGTGCTTCGCTTTAGCCGTTGTCCTCACCTGCATAAGCACAGAAAAATGGTCAGATCTTTCAGTGAAACTTGAGTCACAACCAACCGCGAAAACCTGGTCTATCGAAGGTCCCGAGTATCTCTCGAGTACATGACGAATAAGAAGCCTCACTCTTAACCCATCTTGTACACGCGTACGTTGTCTGTCACAGAAACAAATTCAACCGAAGTATATCCCATGATCTATGCCACCAACGAACGATCGTTCTTTTTAAAATTCTAATTGTCATATATCAATAAGCATAGTTTTATAAGCAGAGGGTTAGTCTGCATAAACAGCGTAGGAGTTTCAACGAGTAACCGACATATACCATATCTCTGGTCTTTCGCGGAATGAATCCCGTAATTTTTGGCCGATCATGGCTCTAATCAAGCAAGCGACTTTTCCTGTCCTGCCGCACTTGTTTACTGTGCTTCGGTTTCGAACTTAATCGAGCACGGCCTTGCTTCGTCTACCCAAATACCAATAATTACGATTTATTGTTCCTTTCCCGCCAAGGCATACAGCAATTTGACCTAAAGATATTGATACTATTGTTTACAAAATTGTCTCTTTTATTTGCCATCATTTTCACTTCTGATGCTCCCTCAAAGGAGCAGAGAGGACGGGGCATTATGCTGTGCGATATTTCTGGTTCTGTATGATTCTCATGCACAAACTACGTTATCTTCACTCAAATGAGTGATCATGCAAATGCAAGTTTTTGAACAATGCTGATTTGCCATCAACAGCAGAAAGTGTCATCACGGAGGGCTGAAGAGGTGTCATCATTCTAATCTGTGCACTTCATCAGGAGCTTCAGTACCTAAACCTGTTTATTACCTTGTGTTATATTACTTTTTGGTTTGATTATGAGTTTCAGAAGCTAAATGCATTTTCAACTTTTCTTGGTTTCCTCGACTAATTTTGCATCTGATTCATTGCTACGTCCGGCAATGCGGAAAACGTTGAAATGTCATGGGACGCTTGAGCAAATCGTTTTTATTTTGGAGAGAATTGCGCATGAACCATGCCTCGTGTTGAGGTTGAAGTAGAGTTACCTCAGTAGTTCCTTTGCAACTGTGAATTCGTCAGGGAGTTATTCTTTCGCCTTTGCTATTCGACACTGTTCTCGACTGTTCTGTTCTCTGAAAGAGTACTGTTTGTGGGAAAGACGAAGGTCTGATTCATGAGAGAAGCGTACGGTTCACGGCATCTTGCTGACCTTGAGCACGCAAATAATATTATATATTGCAAATAATACTAATAGCGCGGTAAGCGGTATTTCTCACTTGACGGCTTTCGCATGCACTACCAAAAATCGGTCTCTCCCTTAATGGCAAAAATTATGAGGAACCGATGCAGAAACAGCTTTCCTCCAAGTGAAATTCGGAACTGCGGAGGATCGCCTTCGCCTCCAGTGCTTTTGGTAACTTTTCCAATATTTTGTCTGAGGAAGAAGTTAATACTCCAAAGAAAACCCTACTATTCGTTACCTCTGGCAGGTAACTGTCGTTGTACAGGACGGAGACGATTGTTTGAAAAAGGGAGCAAGAATACCGATTGCACTGCGTACAGAAGCATTGGCTTCGACACATAATGAGGGTTAAATGGCAGAACCAAATGAGGAATAATTCTCTTCTACTCCGGGCACAGGTGACCTTGGTAGATGTAAGGTTAAAAAAAGCAGGATGACCTTGGTAGACAGTTTCATTGAGCATATATCATTTACTCCCTTCGTGAACTTCCTACGTGTGAGCTGAAACTGCAGAAGTCGAGGAGAAGGCAGACATGCATCATGGAAGAAGAAGTAAGAGGCTTACCTACTTTCGTAGAGGAATACTTCCTTTCGCGACGTAGTAATTAAGGCTTTGTAGCAAAAGTGTTGACAAGCAGCGTATATAGCTGACATCAGAAACGAGGGAAATTCTACATATGCAAACGCTCAAAGTAAAGATCACAAAATCTTGCAAATACACACACAAAGTTACACTAGCTCACAGAGTCAAATTTCTTGGTGCAAAATGGTTGGCCACGCTTTCGATGGTATGATCCCCTGAATCTGATTCAAACGACGTACTCAGTCCCCGGGTTTAATGCTTGAACAACTTCGTACTGTCTCCTGCAATTTCTCCGGATTCACGCGGCGTAATCTCACCGTTTCTTTGCTTCCAGTAGCTTAGGGAACCTTTGATCAGACCACAGACGGATCCATCGTATTTCAGCACGTGCAGTACACTTCGTTCAGTGAAAGAAACACGTTCGAACACCGATTTTTATGCCTTGATCATTAAACATGCAATTTGGTAACTTATAATTTTTACACGTTTAAAAATTAAACACAAATTTGTGATCAAATGAGTGGAAGCATTTAGCTGTTGCAATTGCATTTCGCTCTGCTCTTTATGTACATCGTATTTATCCTAAAACGAACGATAATAAAACATATGAACGAAGGAAAAATTCCCTCCTCTTTTCAAAATCACCTTTAATCGTGATGAAACTGTCTGACGCAATCACGTGTTATTTAGGCCAACACAAATGCGGAGAGAACGAGCAGTATCTTGTTTGTGGCAGCGCCTGTGAACCGACGTGTCAGTCACTGAGAAGCAAACAGAAAGAATGTGCTGAAAACTGCGTGAACCGGTGCTTCTGTCGTTTGGGGTACGTAAGAGACCGGCATAACAAATGCATCCCTAAAGACAAGTGCTAAACCAGAAGACCACTTGGCTGATGACGTATTTTTCAGATAAATTGCTTCCTTGATCTAGCTTACTTTGGTACCTGATATATTGAATTGACGTTCAATAAACTATGACGATTTGGCAAGCATTTCTTGGACCCTGATACGCTAAACCGAGAACAACGGTCATAAATAATTAAGTAGATGCGTGTAATAAAGCAATTTATGCAATCCTGCTAATGTAATCTTTAGATAAGTCACAAACGGGAAGGCAAAAAGTCTCTAATTAGGGACATCTGACGTTTCGGACCAAGCTCTGTCCGTCTTCAAAGAACAATCTTATCCAAATGAACCTGTAACTGTACTCTGAAGACGGACCCAGCTTGGTCCGAAACGTCAGATGTCCCTAATCAAAGACTATTTTATGCGCTGTCTTCCCATTTGTGACTGACATAAAGATTTTATCACCTCCCGCATAAAAAAATCATGTGCGAATCCCACTAATGTCATATAAAGAGTTTTAATAAACCAAAAGAAACCGTGCTTGGTCTTCAATTACAACTCGTGAGTAGTGGCGTTTCCCAAAGCTACGCATTTGCACAGTCATCCTTTCGAACACATGGCGACGTTTTCCATTAATCATTCTATACATAGACGCGAATCTTCATTCAAGCTACGATCTGAACAAACGAAAGCCCAGTGGCCATTCAGCATCCGGCTGTCGCTGTTTTGTGGACAGCAATGTTGTTAAATACCATATGTCTGGCTTGACTTTGAATTCAAGCGCTTCTTGCCTGAGGCACATTCAGAAGTGTGGTGAGTGTCACTGCTTTAGTAAGCTGTTGACAAACTATGATTTCAACTCATCCTCTTCATCGATCTTTATTTCTGTTTGAATAGTGTGAGCATTTTCACCACTTGCTGTCGGCCACAGGAAACATAGAGGGGGAAAGCCATTTCCAATATCGACCTGTTCGCAACTGCAACTTGAAAAAGATAGCTAACGCAAAGTCGTCAATATCAGCGGAGGGAAAGAAGGCTAATGGTGTCTATGAAGAAGAATCGATTTTCGACGCTTACCAATTGATCGAATGTTCTTCGATACAGAATACGGTGTTGAAAAGTATCTTGCCGCTTCGTTCGTCGCTAATGGCGTCGCGATCTGTCGAAGTCGATTTCAGCGCAGGTGGAACGTGAGTTGCACGAACGAGGAGATTTTGGCCATCGTCCACAAGCTATGGTGAGAACGTACCTCAACAACCCATCTATTTCTAGCTGTTTGGACCAACGTTTGCTTAAAACGCGTCATCCGGCCTCTGACGTGACAACTGCTGCTTGCCAAACGGACTTGTGTGCGTTTTACTGTAGTCGAACAGAGCAAGAAAAAGGCAATCACTCTGCTGAGTTCAGCAAGCAACGGCTGGGTGGCACGCAAGAAAACAGCGACCACCGACGGGATTGTCACAAATCAGAGAAGAATACGACAGCGGCTGCCATCGTGAAAAACGACACTTGTTCTTCTTCGCAGCTACTGACCACCAACTTGGCTGTTTCTCCGGAGACATCGACATGCACGTACGTTCTTTCGCAGCAGTGTCCGAATTGCCGTTACTCGTTTAACTCGTGTCAGCCCTCAATCGCTAGTGGAGACGGTCGAACTTCGGAAGTACTTCACGAGGAAGGTTGTGACTCCGTCAACGCCGGTATCGAAGCAACGTCTGCCAACGCCTACCTACCACCATGGCTTGCAGGCAACCCGCAGCCGTCGACAGGGGTCAGACGGTCGCGGCAGTGGTTGGAGTGCCAAACGTCACGAAGGCACATCAGCGCTGTCGAGGTCATGAATAGTCCGAGCGTGCCAAGCAACCTACTTGCGTCAAACGGCGTTGTGCAGAAGGACCAGAAGTTGCCCCCTTCGTCGAAAACCGCTCTGTCACTCGATACTCGGCCCTCCCAGCTGAAAGTAGACGTTCGAACGAATGAGGCTGTGCAACCGCTGTCGCACCTGAAGTCGTGCCCCACGTACCTGAATAATCCAGTGGTGCGGTGCAATGAAGAAAACGTTGTTCGAGCGAAAAACGCTAGCTGTTTTGCAGAGTGTTTGCACCTTTGTCTGACACCCCCATACATCATTTGCCCGTGCGTTTGGTTCGGCTTTCGGAGGTGTCCGGCGGAAGGTACCTGCGAATACTGTCTGCATGACTGTTGCAGAGGCGGAGATGGCATGCAAAAGTATGCCTCTAATTACTCGCTTAACGACCGGTCATCGCGATCACATTTGTTGTATCTGCCAGTGTGTGGCTCGATCGTCAACGACGGTATCAGCACCGCACCCAGACTTGATGTTTTTCCTGCAGCTGAGGCACAGAAGTCGATGGAGAAGCTTCTGCTAACCGAGAAGCCAGAGACAGGCCCTGATCACCTAAGCAGGCAGCAACCGTGTGCATGTGGCAAGAAAGATTCACAGGCACCAGTGTTGCGGGTAGAACGACAGTCTGACTCTCGTCCACCGTCCAAGAGTGAAATTTTAACTCAACACGTCACCGTGAGTAGTAACTCGATCAGCAACGGAAGTGCTTGTGATCGAAGGAGGTTCATCGTTTCCAGTAAAAAGAGCGTCCAGAGGAAAGACAGCAGCCCTGAATGGTGGGAGCGTACTTCTAAAAGCTTTGTTTCGCAGCAGCCAGCGCCGCCCACACCTATGATTAATAGAGTGTCAGCCGTTGACTCAAAAACAGAACAAAAGCGAGGTCCAAAGAGCCTGCCTCGCCAAGGCGTGTTTAGGAAATCGCCAGGGAACAGAAAGCCTGTCACGAAGACCTCATTTTCCGTTTCGCCTTCATTTCGAAGAGATCAGTTTGAGCAGCAGGGTAATGATGACAAAGAAAAGGTTGTGTCCGTCAACGGGTCGCTGGCTAACATTGAACTGTCAGATGGCACCGAAAATCGTCCAATTTCACCCATAGCGGAACAATGTCTCCGAAGAAATTCTGAACCAGAAACCGCTAGAGAGATCCACATCTTACGACAATTATCAGCAATGCGCGAACGATTCCTGGAAAATTACCAAGACGGAACAAGCGACAAACCCCTGTCATAATTTGGTAATAACTCGTGATAAATTTTTTCAACCATCAATTAGCCATAATTTATTAGTTATGTGTCACCTGGCGAGTTGAAAATAAACAAGCGCACTTCTCTTTGATTCGTGATTTCAACCGGCGCTATTGATCAGGCTGTGCATTCTACAAAACTCCGGATTGTACTTGAAGGTCAATGAAAATTTAAACTGCTTGCAAATCTTGCTTTGAATAGTTTTTTGCCTTTGATGGATTCATATTTCAAAACATCAATCAAAGTCATTATTATTCTCAATTCAGCTGTAGAGTTCTATTAATTTCTGACGTCGATCAACTGCCAACTTTTCAATGGCTTTTATAGGAACTGCTTACAACTCATCTGTGAAGCAGTTCATCTGTGAAATCAGACCTGCTCACGATTCAGTCGTTATGTTGCGTACGGGCTTTTTTTATATATAGCATATTCTGCATTTTGGTCCTCGTCAGAGAGGCTGATAAACAGTGTCAACTGGCTTAACCTCAACTGCTGAACCCATTTCCCTTTTCTAATCTCTTGCCTTATTTAGTCTGCAAACGTTTCAGAGTGAATGAAATCGTTCTTCACATGATTTGCCACTTTACCTACTGTTTATCCGGCTAATATTGATCCAAATTGCACAAATGTACTCATTTACCAGAGCCGGTATAGATGAATTTCCGGGGTTCATTCATAGATCGCACATGAAACGACTCCATTCATCAGAAGGAGTAGAAATCTCAGTATGAGGAAAGGTTGCAAAATGGAGGTGAGCTGTACTTGACCAAATAATCAAAGTTAGACAATTATGCAGAGTCTTGAACTTTTCCTATGCCTGATATCCTCCATATTTTTCTATGAATTTGAGAACCTCACCAACTGTACAGAGTAGCCTAGCCTCAAATATTTACTTAATCAAGGACCGTGCACTGTTCCTAACCTCTCATATCGTCCAAGGTACCAGTACTTCTTAGCAAATAGGGTTGTTCTTTCCATGACCTATCATTTTAACCTTGGTTATTCGTCTATATCAGGTTGTTGAAGTAAGGCTAATGATACTGGACTCAGCGCACAAATGAGCATGAGGACACTTGTGGGTTCTCCTGAAGAAAAATAGTGAAATACTATTAAAACACTCAGGTTAGAATTTCATGTAACTTTGTATAGTAAAGCATTGCAAGTTACGTGGAGAGACAAATCGTTTCAAAATTCTTACAGAAATCTATGGTTTCCCTTGTACTAAAACACTTTTTCAAAACATCGAACGAGAATAAACGTTAAATTTAATGTTATACGCTGCATGCAGTTCAAACTAGTAATTCATTATTCTTATTCGTCTTCATCTTCATCTTCCATCGCCGCTTCTCCTTTCGGGTCGCGGAGGCAGACGCGTCAGACAGTG